ATATAATCCTACTCAACACTCACAGATCTACAATACTTTATCTCACCTTAGCCTGCTTCTCAGCATCACTTCCCGGTAGCAGATCCATGTGCGTCCCAATTAGACTAATCGTCGGTGATGCTATCATTCCATTGATCAAATTCTTTGATTCAGAGCCATGTAGCAGTACAGCGTGTTCAAATATTGACCTTATCCAAAATAAGATCGATTGCAGATTTGTCATCTCAAGAAATTCCTAGAAATATGCAAAAAAAAAATCACATAATAATATAAAGTGGGATTTGCGAAAATTATTTCAGGAATGGTTATTCCCCACTCAGCGCCTTTGATAGATGCTTGTATTGGCACCAATATTTTCTTTTTTTATTATTATTAAATAATGTAATTATAATTAAACTACTGCATTTCATAAATTCACTGGAATATTTAACTGATTTATTTACTTTTTGGGGATCTCTTGGCTTTGCTAATTCATCCAAAGCGTCTAGCAAACTGAATACAACTCCATAAGATGACCCATCTGTAAGAAAAAACTGGAAGGAAAAAGATCAGCGGATTGTTAAACCATATTAAGGATATCGATATAGACACGTAGCCTAACTAAGGTATAAGTTGTACACATACTAATATTCTATAGTCTCTTAAAGTGAGCTATATACACGCGATGTTAATAAAGTATTATTATTTTTATAATTATTAATGCACGTTTGGCGTCACATACTTAATTAATGCTTAAGTATGTGGTTTTATTATCATTGATCTGCCTTCTATTATTTTTATATAGACATGTTGCCTGAAATAAAGCATTGATTTCATTCATTAATAATTTTCTAAAGCTGCATAGGAGCCTGTTCTTAAATTTCAACACACACAAACCAATAGGAAAAACAGGAAAACTCTCACATCATTAATGATGCTATGCTACGTTGTCATAGGGACACCAGTGGCTTCAGTTGCCTAATAATCATTTATTTTTGTTCTCAGTTCAATGGTACTCACTATTCAATGTAATGCAATGATAATAATTAGTAGGGCCCATTTCTGAAATTGTAATCGATTTATTATTTTTAAAAGTATAATATGCTGAACCTAGGTTAATTTGTTTAATGAGGAATGTATCTGTTAATAAACTTGACTTTTGACTTTATCTTTATTGTTTCAGATTTTATCATGTAAAGGGCCCTGAATATCAGCCTAACTGGAAGGGTCAACCTTAATATATAGATGGTTGGAATAAATAAATAAATCAATTATTATTATTGTTATTATTATTATTATTATTATTATTATTATTATTATTATTATATCTTCATCACATAAATATTTCAAATTTTTGGAACATGGAACAAATTACATAATAAATATAAATGTACTACAGAATAAAATGAAAAAAAAAAATAAAAACAGTTCACTGTTGTTTTGCAGTACAGTGCAATCGTTATTCAGTGCTGTGTGTGTGATGATTATGACCAATCACTGCACTGATTGTTTTACAGAATGTCCACTTACCCGGTGAGTAATATAATATTCAAGTTGACCGGCATAGTCCCATATACAAGTTACGTCACTCGGCCCAGAACTCTTGTTTGCAAGTTTGTCAATGACTTTCTTACGCATTTCATGTAGTTGATAAGTCGATACTTCAGTGTCCTGAGATACACCTTTTGCACGGGTGGATACTCCTGTGTCCTGAGATACACCTTTTCCACTGGTGGATACTGCTGTGTCCTGAGACACACCTTTTCCATTGGTGGATACTCCAGTGTCCTCAGATACACTTTTGCCTAAAAATACATGACAATGAACTGTAAGTGTGAAACATTCTCTTAGTATTGTGGTTGTGACGATGGTTGTGGTGGTTCTTGTTAATACGATTAACATTAATAAATATCTACCTTTAAACCGTCTGATAAACACAGGGGATAAAGATGACTTTTTTCTGGGATCAATTTCTGATACAGATGCAGCTGATGTTCCTTCGAGAGGAGATGCGGACGTAGATGGAAATGCTATCCTTCCACGATCAGATGAGGACGTAGAAGCAGTGAAATTGAACGTCTTTGCTACATTCGTAGCTATAGCGTGTTCGCGTATCTGTTTAGTTCGTTCAATCTCTGTGGAATGGCACAGCAATGAGAAGTTATCAAAAAATATATATCAAATTGAATTATCAAAAGAGGCCTAAGTATTTATTGTAAATATTTTAAAATGTTCTGAAGGTTGTTAAACGACATTACCGGTGTACATCAAGTTTCTTATTTATAGAATCATACCGTCTACATCTTTCTGCTCCTCCCATATGCTGCAATCCTCACCGACAGTTTGAAAAACAGTTTTAGTTGTAACAATACCATCGGTTGAGGGCTCTTCCTTATCAAATCTATTATTGAAATTTGCAATGTTATAATAAATATAAAGATAATTGAGTCAATTACAGGATCTATAATTGAATACAGGAAAGTTAATATTTACTTTTTAATATCGGGGAATATTTTTCTCATTCGAACTTACTTTAAAGTTAATAAAAATTAATTACAAATTCACATGTGAAGAATATAGATATGGAATTAAAGGTTTAATTTAATTATAGCTCATAACAGGCAATGCGTCGTTCGTAGACATACAC